ATAATAAATAAATACAGGTATTAAACAGCATACATTTGGACAGAAATGTAAACACTGTCGCCATGGGAAGCGGTACGTTTCAGAGCGTACCATTACCCATTACTCAAAGGTGAGCCACACATCACCAAGATATGAGGTAGCAATATTAATACCGTATGTGTAAAACACGTAATAGGACTCCATTTAGTTGTACTGAACTTACCTTTCTGAAAACCGTATTAGGTACGGATATGGATTATATTACATGTATATGGCTACCAGTCCCCCAGCTCATTTGCTGTATTATGGGCATTTCCTATACATTGATAGGGCCCAGGGTATCACTGGTAACCACCCAGTTCTTTGTCGCTGGCTTTTAATTTCATATTCCTATTAACATCACTTTTCCACACTCAGACGCACAAATGTTTCCTTCTTGGAATATTCACAAACCTGGAACATAAAAGAAGTAAATGTCACTTTAGTTATACATGTATACATGATTTGAAACTCATAAATTTTCATGAAATAATTGACAATAATGCAAAGTGGAAAAAAGTTTATAAACATAACAAATTATTATTATATTGACACCTTACTCGGCATCATTACAAGCAACAACATCATCATCATCATTGTCATCATCATTATCATCATCATCATCATCCAAATCAGGAACATCATCATCATGCTCAGCACAAGGTTTCCGCTTCCTTGATGTTTGAAAAGTTATACCAAAATCTGCCGCTGTAATGCAGGGAAACATTTTATTCTTGGTCCTGCTATTTGGTGCCCACACACTTTGGAACCAATTCACAGGTGCTCCAATTCTTGCCAGTACACTGTGGTTCTCCAGATCTGTGAGGTGCATCATCTGGCACTTGAACTGATCCACAATTCTCTTCTTCACAGTTGGAAATATAGGAATGTTCTGTGATGCATCTTCATCCAAAATGCCCCTCCTGGCAAATTCATACACCGATCCCATGTAATCTGCGTGTATACCAAGAAATTTGTTAAAACATGTGAAAGATAATACAAGATAATTCAATGATACTCACTGAACATAGCCTCAGTATATTTTTCATGGAAGTCCAATTTCAGGGGTTTCAGTCCAAAAAGATTCCTCCTCAGTGGACTCGTAATTGCCTTGAAACTTGATGCAGGCCAAAACATTCTCCTACAAATGTCGTGAAATAAAACCTTTGCTTCTTTTGAGGCTTTATCTAAATTATCCCATATTCTGGGAGACATTTTCACCATATTCTTTACATGTTCCACAAACAGATTGTGGTCATCAACACAAACACACAATCCATGGGCAACATATACAACGGGAACTTTCACTCCCCCAAGCTTAGCATTTGTGTGTATCCGAAGCACATTGTCAATTTCCTTCTTCAGATGGAAGATGGACAGCAGGCGTCCACTCCTGAATTCTTCTAATGCTTCCTTGCTAGCACTTGGTGTTACTTTGTGGGGGAGTGGTCCCAATTTGACTTCCTTCATGTCCCAATTGTATTCCTTGTAGAAAACGTCGGCACCTTCACCTTTGAAGAGCTTGATGTAGAGTTACAAGCTTTATGCATTGTGGGCCTCATAGACTTGTCGGTATATCTTCTTTGCCCTTTGTATTCCTTGCTTATGCTCTTCTTCAGAAATTCCCTTGATTTCTTGGTTGGGCAGGTACTTGAAATTATCCTCGAAACTTCCACAAGTGTGTCTGTTGATGACACTTCTCAATTTCTTCAGTCAAGCAAGTTGAGGAGGAGGAAGTGCATCCTTCAATTGTTCCAGTGCATTTAGGAAAAGCACAATTTCTTCAGCAATGAAGTTGTTGGCATCAATCAAGAAGAGACTTTGTGTCGACTTCATTAACTTGAACTTGCTTGGTTCTTGAATCTCTGATGTTGACTCATAATCTTCATCCAAGCCTGCTTCTGGAAGGAGTTGAAAAGTGAATGTAAGAATGTATAAAACGTAATACATGCGTTTGTCATGAATTATGAAATTAACAATAAAAGTAATAATTCTGTTAGTCAGTCTGGGATCCAAACTAAGTACAAGTATTACACATAAATTTGTACATACANCCTCCTCAGTGGACATTGTAATTGCCTTGAAACTTGATGCAGGCCAAAACATTCTCCTACAAATGTCGTGGAATAAAGCCTTTGCTTCTTTTGAGGCTTTATCTAAATTATCCCATATTCTGGGAGACATTTTCACCATATTCTTTACATGTTCCACAAACAGATTGTGGTCATCAACACGAACACACAATCCATGGGCAACATATACAATGGGAACTTTCACTCCCCCAAGCTCAGCATTTGTGTGGATCCAAAGCACATTGTCAATTTCCTTCTTCAGATGGAAGATGGACAGCAGGCGTCCACTCTTGAATTCTTCTAATGCTTCCTTGCTAGCACTTGGTGTTACTTTGTGGGGGAGTGGTCCCAATTTGACTTCCTCCATGTCCCAATTGTCTTCCTTGTAGAAAATGTTGGCACCTTCACCTTTGAAGAGCTTGATGTAGAGTTCCATGCTTTGTGCATCGTGGGCCTCATAGACTTGTTGGTATATCTTGTTTGCCCTTTGTATTCCTTGCTTATGCTCTTCTTCCAAAATTCCCTTGATTTTTTGGTTGGGCAGGTACTTGAAAATATCGTCGAAACTTCCACAAGTGTGTCTGTTGATGACACTTCTCAATTTCTTCAGTTGAGCAAGTTGAGGAGGAGGAAGTGCGTCCTTCAATTGTTCCAGTTCATTTAGGAATGGCACAATTTCTTCAGCGACAAAGTTGTTGGCATCAATCAAGAAGAGACTTTGTGTCGGCTTCATCAACTTCAATTTGCTTGGTTCTTGAATCTCTGATGTTGACTTGTAATCTTCATCCAATCCTGCTTCTGGAAGGAGTTGAAAAGTGAATGTAAGAATGTATAAAATGTAATACATGCATTTGTCATGAATTATGAAATTAACAATAAAAGTAATAATTCTGTTAGTCAGTCTGGGATCCAAACTAAGTACAAGTATTACACATAAATTTGTACATACATGTAAACACTAGGCATGAAAGCCATATAATACTAATCGAGACGTATTGTATTGCTGGTGTAGCGTGAAATGTAGTCATGAGTTATGAGAGAGGGTTTAATGGAATGGTACACATTAGAGAATGATACCTTTTGAAATACCTTCTCATCCTTATAAAGTACTTTAAATACATAATGTTACGTTCAGTTTCATGTTATTCACTTCTATAGTAACATCTAAGTATTACTTCATATTGTTGTTAAAATTTTGTACCTGGGCTTTTTGATTGGAGAGCAGCACTCTTGCTGGTGAGTTATCAGATGCTTGTACAAGGGATTCCTGTGGAGCGTTTTGATCAATGTCAGGTCCTTCAGATGTCACATCAGGAGAAGGGCATTCTGTTAAAAAATAAACATTCATCATGAGCATAATTGAAGCCCCTCATTGGAAGTATTCTGCTAGTTAGTCTGGGATCCATCCATTTTACTTTTAATACACTATATTAAATTCAATTAGTTCACAGTAAAGTTTCATTATTAGAATATACAATCATCTGGTTCAAGGAATTAACTCAGTTATTGGAATTGTTACATTATGAATCGTGTGGAAAGGTATTAATGATTCATAAACACATTTGAAATACCATCTCATTATCATTAAGTACTTTAAATACAGAATTTAAACATATGCTTACCTGAAGAAAGGCTCATGTTGCAATCAGAATGTGGTGTTGTTGGGAGGCTGCAACTTGTTGTTGGTGAAGCATTCTGCCCAATTTCCATGTCTTCACTTCTGGATTGTAATCCTACTTGTCCTTTGTCTTTCAAGATGGGTACTTCCATCAGCTGAGTCATTTCTGTGGTACATCAAGTAATTATATAATTAGTGTGTAAGAAATATAATGTGTTCTTTTCTATCAGTATGAAGAAATTTACTAACTGTAACTTTCCATAACCTGAAGCACAAACGCTTTTAGGTCATGGAATGACGAAGGACCCTCTTCACATCCAGCAGCCTGATTTGCTTCATTTTCAGAGAAGCACTTTTCAACAATTTGATCTGCAGCTTCCACGATTTCATCAAATTTTGCAATTCTTGTAGGATCCTGTTTTCAAATGCTCATTTCTTCTTCCATAATCGCTGCCCGGAAACACATGAAGAGATATTTTGCATTCACAAAGGAGCACTCCATAACTTTGATAGCACCGATATCATTGTAAACATTTTGTTTGAACTTTTGCAACAACATTATGTGTTTCAATTAATGCCTGTAATAATAAAAGAAGAACAAATTTAAATCATTATCAATACACATTGTGAATGAATGTCTTTAAAGAAAATACAGGGTTAAACACAAGTTCAAATGTACAAAACAGTGCAATGCAATTCTCGACTAAGAATGTTCTCACACACTGTTAACGTGTCATTGCACAAAAAACGTCACTGTTTCACCGTCACTATTAAACACTTTGCTGTACACTTTTCCTTCTTGTAGTCCTGGAAGATGAAATAAGAGGATGTGGGTTTAATAACAAATGAATATACAATTCAAACTCTTTGAAGATAATTTGTTAGACATGTTCAAAGCTGTTTCAGTAAACCATATGAAATTTTCTTCTTTCTTCAACTCATCATCTACTAGCACTTCTCCTGAAAACATTCTTCACGAAAACCACATCATCCGCAATTGATTTCAGTTTTCTCTTCTCATTCTTCTTGAACTCCTGCTCAACTTCCTTCCGGTGGATGTCATCATCAAAAAGAAGAATATGACCCACTTGAAGGGTCTTATCAGAAATTTCCATGGAATCCTCCAATTCCTCTTGTTTGTCAGATGCCTGCAGGTTTGATTCTTCTTCACTTGATGCTTGATTCTTCATCCTTTTGCTGTATTCCTCCTTGACAAGTTCCTTGTACTTGTTGCTAACTGAACATGGAGGGTTCTTCCTGAAATGCACACAACATTGAATGTATGAATATAAATAAATGTAACTCTGTTTAATTTGAAAAGCTAATATCATGCACCACTCACCCAACTCCCAGGAGATAATTAAGTTTGTCTTCCAAGATGTTGATCCGTTTCTTTAGCGTGTTCAGCAGCTTCTTCTGTTCATCATCTTGTTGTCGTAAATTAGTTAATTTAGATCTTTTACAATTCTTAAATCCAGACGTCTCTAGATTTTCCAATTGTATAACTTACCGTTGCAAGTTGTATTTAAACTAATTTCAACAATTCCTTGAGAGGAGATTTCTTGATCCTTGTTACCGGGCAAAGTAAATTGAACTCCTCTTTTATCAAAATAGGTGAGTGAGCTTTATTTTGTATTCAACAGCAAAGATACTGTACTCTAACAAGCTTTGGACAGCAATGAGCGCGCGATCAACAGAGAACAGGCAACTATATAGATTTGCTCAGGTAAGGTTGGGCAATAATGGTCAGACCCAGATCTGACCTCATTCTAGGTGAGGTTGCATAACCTTGTGGCACATGACTTGCGAGAGATCACGCGGCAAAACCGTGAGCCAGACGACGTGACTTTATTTGGAGCATCGTCTGCTAGGTGAAAGGGAATGCAGCAAAGTTATTGATGACAAATTCTCCGCGGACAAATAAAAAAAATAAGTCCTCTTATTTTCCCACATGCCAAGGCATGTTTTTTGGCACCAGATTCCTTCATCACCCTCATTTGAGGTGTGTAGGAATTCATGCAGATCTACTTGACTGTAAACAGTCAAGGAATTATCCATATGTAGGAATCTGCCTCGTAGAGTACAGTTCAGTTCCTTTCAGAGAACCAATCGGTCGGTTCTTCAATCTTTTCTGGTGATTTCTTCTTTGATAAGGACTTTCATTTCAAGTCCTAATGAGAAATGTCTGATTTTAATTTACATTCCCTCAATCTTTTCAGATATTGCTCCAAATAAGTTCGCGCTCATTCTCCCACAGTAAATTCGCGAAAAATAGAATGAAACAGAAAGTCAACACAGCAAGTCAATCAATAGAATGTTTCGATTCGCAAACTTTTTGCTTTTGGCCTGCGTGGTTCTCGCGTTTGATGACAATTGCGTCAACGGGGGCCAAAAGTATTATTGCGAAGACGTCTGCGAGGCAAGGCATTCCTCGTATTATGACGACAAGGTGATTTTTGTTGGTCACGTTTTGGACTTGAAATGCGTCTCCATGCGTCATTTGAAGGTTGGTTGATTTCTTTTCTGAAAGATAGGAACAATAAATTTTAGTGTTGAAACTTTTCAGAAGGTAACCTTAACGACTCAAGTTTGGTGTAGAGGAACAATGACAGAATATCTTCAGTCTGTCATCAATCCCTTATGGCTTTGCCAGGGCATGGAGAAAATGACGGTTACTAGTACGAGTACCAGTACTGTTATTTCCTCCTTGTCTTCAAAGAGTAAGTCAATTTGATTTAATCATCAAACAGCAGAAATATTTTCTTTTCTAATTTCGAATTTGTAACCACAACCTTTACACCGGATTCCACAACAATCGAATCTTTGGTTGGTTTGGAGTTCAGCACCAAGACTTCCATTTCTTCATCTTCTGAGCGGACAACCATTCCATCCAAGAGGATTTTTATCCCTGGTTGAGTTGATGATGTTCCGTTGGAGGTGGAAATGCAATTGCCTATGGAAAAGCTGGGAAAATCTAATAATTCTTATGAACTACAAAAACATTCCTGGCTTCTCTATTTGCTAATTGGCATGAGCATCTTCGCTTTTCTGCTGCTGATCATCCTTTCGGTCTTGATCTATATGAAATATAAACCTGTAAGTTCTATTGAATCTTTTGGAATCTTTCTTTTTGTAACATTCTGTTTTTGCTGATTTAGACTAGATCATTGGTTACTTCAGTCAAGGACGCCATAAGAATGGTTAATCCATTTTTTGATGATTCGGAAATTGTTGCTGCTGGTGTTCAACCAGTTTTGTTTGGTGAGGCTTTAGAATTGGCTGAGAGAAGTTGAACTTTTGCTTCTGTCTGTCCTTTGCGAATTAAACTTTTCAGTGAGTTTCAGGAATGAGTTTTTCTGTAAAATATTCTAATACATTCTATAATTACAGAATATCAAGAGCTGCAGGAGGTTTCTTTGTCTGCGACAGCTCAAGAGTCAAACACAGAGGAGTCAACGTGTTAGGACATTCAATGGGTTAGCACGGATTGTCTCCACCGGAAATCAAACCGCTTTGTCAAGGATTTTGTCAATAGTGCAATTTCTTGTCGCTGGCTTTATTTTAGTGGCATTTGTGTTTGATTTTATGCCAAATAAAATTGCTTTGCTCGTTCAACTTTTGGTCTTTTACTATTTATTTTATCGTCATAATCCCGGTTCTGGGATTCAATTGTAAACGGGGATATTGAGGCACATTGGGGGCCATTCTGGAGGGCAACAATTCTATTGTAGTATTTTCTAAGGCATTCATGTCCCTTTGTCTTCTTCTTCTTATAATGTATCTAAGTTTTGCATAACATAAATACATTATACACGAGAGAATAATTACAAGAAGAGTAATTGAGACAATTAAGTAAATATATCCGTGATCTCGAAAGTGTATCTGGAGATCACTGATATCTTCATTTATTTTTCTTTTAACATCTGGGGGTAATACTTCTTCCACAGCATTTATTTCAACACAATCTAATTTAGGTATAAGAGTTTTAAATGGTCCATTGACCATAGTATACCGACAATTTGGTTTAAATTGAAGTATACCTGAATATGGTAATACATACGAATTTTCTGTAGCGGGTATTTTGTTGTCATCAGAGCCAGCACAGTATTGTGTGACTCTTCCTTTGTCAGCATCCACGTAAGCAAACTCGTCTTGATCGAGTTGTACAACCTTGTCTTTTGGAGCTTCTATCTCCAACATTTCACAAGAGTTTTTGATTTCTTCCTCGTTTGATCCTCGTTGGACGTTTTGTAAGCAACTTACTGCTTTTACAGTAGGCGTATGCTGCCATCTGCATATGCGACATCCAGAGTATCCTATATTCTTCAGACAAGTGGGCAATTCATTAGTATTTATCCCATACAAATTTGTTCCTTGTTGCAGCATGTAGGTATGAGGGATCCTAGCTTGGTACCATTTAGGAGTCCCAAGATATGTCTCTTTTGCTATCGGCATCACATGCACACGGAACAAACCGTATTTTTCTGTAGGTCTTATCACTGGAACAATTGTAATTATATGTAATTTACAGGGACCTAATTTTTGTTCTGAGGGTCCAGAACATCCAATGAAATTACCAGTGGTTAATGGATTAGATTGGATAATTGCCATCATTTCTGCGGCAGAGGATCCAATTAAAGATGCTCTATGTTCTGTAGTTAATATAGTAGATATAGCGGCATGCACTGTATCATAATTATGGAGATAGGTAGGAAATTGGTATTTCATAATGGCCTCTATATCATGTATAAGAAAAGATTCAATATCCACAATGTGGCTGAATTCGGATCCTAAAGTTATCAGTCTCATCCAAAATCCTACAGTATCATTATTTGCGGTTCGCAGATCTTCTATAAGATCTTTGATACTGGTAAATAAGTCTTCTTGTCCTAAATTAATTCTAAGGAAATCAGTTGGGTAAATGTTAACCCGTTTATTTTTTATTTGAACATCTTGGACGTGTACAATATTTCTTCTGAGTATAGGTATTATATTTAAGTGAGCCATGTCACTAGGAAGCACTATACTTGCATTTCTGACCTTTGCTTCCAAACTTTCAGTGACCACTTCTAAATAATGGGCTTTGTGACTTATCACGTCCATGGAAATATTCATTAGTTTACTAAGAGTAGCATTGTTTTCTCTCAATGCTATTTTTAAATCCTTGAAATATTTCCGGGCAGCTGTTTGAACTTCATCGATTCTTTCCATTATACTACCCACATCTAACGTAGACTCGATAGTCCAGAAATTATTTGGGATGCATATGGAATATAATTCTTCTACTGTTACACCTACATCTCCAGGGAAAGTTCTAATCGGAGATAGTTTATCTAATTTGTTACTATTTGAATCAATTCCCTTATTGTTAGGGATTTCTTCAATTATTAACAAATAGTTCACTGGGAACACTAAAAATATCACAAAGACAAATTTTAGTGAGAAATGCATTGCTCAACACAGTGGTTGGCCAAGAACTGGTCATACCAAGGTTGAAACTTGTTAGGTAGAACTGCTTGACTTCCTCCTTTTTGGGGAGGGAGTTCTCTTTCCTTCTTGTCTGGTTTGAAAAGGAAGTATTTTATCCAAGTCCAAACCAGACAGCAATCTCAACTGAGGTTGTAAGCGTTTTACCTTGACAATGGGCTCGGCTTCTTTCTTCTTTTTCCTTTTCATAATCATATCCTTTGTGGCCTCCAAAGGGTCACGCATTGCTTCAGGCAGCCTTGATCCTCGCGGCGTGCTTGCTGAGCCCGGTTGCATCATCATGGTTTCAGACATCGTGGGGAGTGTTTCCTCATCGGCAACCATGATGGTTTCCTCAGCTGCTGTTGCTCCAGGAGATAGAAACCTGCCAATTTTGTCAGTTACATCAGAAAACAATTCAGTCAATCTTTCTCATAACAAAGGAGATCCTCGCTGTTCTATTATAGTCTTGTCAGGATCAAATGGAGAATGATAAATAGATGACTTTTCAGAGGTAGCACTACTGGGTACGGATTTAAATACTTCAGTTCTAGGAGGAGTTGCTGGGAAAAGAAGGTCAGCTTGACTTGGGTTGACAATATAATCGTCAGACTTGTCCAAGGCTTGGGTTGTGGTTTCTGCTTCATCAACTTCTTCTTCAGCATCGGTTTCTTCATCTGTCTCCGCTTCTGGTGTAGTGGTTGATTTGCTAAGAGGTTTTGGAGCTGGAAACAGTTTCTGCTCAATTAAAGAAAAATCATCAGTAACATCCACAATATCAACTTTGTTTTTGTCCTCCAAATTTTGAGGGGACAGTGCAGGAGAAATAGGTTGGATGTTATAAGGTCGAACGTAACTTGTATGGACAACGTTGGTCCATTCGGGATGAGCATTGTCTCGAATCCGTATCACTGCTTGATTGATTACTTCTAATACAGTATACGGACCCTTGAACTTTGCACTCCACTTTTTTCCCACATAAGACAATGAATGTTGTCTTAGCCAAACCTTATCTCCTTTTTCATATTGAGTCCCTTTTCTATGCACATTTAATCTTTCCAAATATGATGCTTGTCCTTTTCTAATGGCTAGTTGTGCCTTATTTCTCAAAGACTCTAACTCTTCCCTTTTAACATCGTAGTATTCCCAAATACTTTGAAATTGGCTAGCATCATTTGGTCCAGAGAGCCAATTTCTTCTGGGTTTTATTCCAGTAACAATTTTGAATGGCGATGCCTGCAAAGCTTCATGCTTTGTCGAATTATGTACCCACGTGGCTAGTTTCAATAATTCATCCCACGTGCTACAATTTTTGGGGTCCAGATATAGAGAAAAATATTCATGTAATTCCCTATGAGCTCATTCATTTTGCCCGTTTCCTTGCAGCCTATACGCGGTTGTTGTATTTGCGCGGGCTCCTAGGAAATTTGCCATTTCCTTGAATACGTTACTCAGGAAATTAGTCCCTCTATCTGTTAGAATTCTCTTGGGGGCCCCAAATAAACAAACCCAGTCGGTGAGAAATAATCTTGCTGTGGCTTGAGCCGTTGCTTCTTGCATTGGAGAAAATACTATCCATCTGGACAGTCTATCCTGCATAACTAAGATATATCTATTTCCCCGTTGACTATTGGGTACTGGCCCTACCACATCAATACTCACATCCTCGAAACATTGCTTTGGAATTCCTGTACTCAGATAAGGGGTCCTATGGGCATAGGCTTTGGTTTTCTGACATATTTCACACGTCTTGATGTAATTAGTGACGTCCTTTTCCAAATTAGGCCAGGTGAATTCCTCCCAAAGGGAAAATACTGTTTTATTGATCCCACTATGCCCCATCGCTGGAGGGTATACGATGCCACGAGTTTTTCTCTGAGTTTTGGGGGAACCCATATCCTCATACCCTTCTCCGTATCCTTGTACAATATTCCATTTTCCATGCGAAAATCATTTCCAAAAGGCAACTGATTTTTAATTGCCATAGTTTCTCTTTGGATTAGTCCTCTTGACACATAGGGTATTAAATCAGTCCCTTGCAGCGTTGGTGACAAATAAGCACAAATCCTTTTCTGATGCTGCTGTGCAGGAGGGAATCTACTGAGAGCATCGGCATGAGGGATTGATAACCCCTTTCTATACTCTACTCTATAATCATACTCATTTAGTTACATAAACCAAGTGATAGCGCAACTGCTGTCACTTTGACGTTGCCTGCTTAAATAGGGGATCGCGATATGATCAGTTCTGATCACAAACTTGTTGTCTTAACCAGCTTAAATTTCCTAGGAGCCCGCGCAAATACAACAACCGCGTATAGGCCGCAAGGAAACGGGCAAAATGAATGAGCTCATAGGGAATTACATGAATATT